GGCGTGGAAGTGGTTGGATGTGGGCAGGACCTTTGGAAGTGCAGCAGACTGTAGAGATGACACAGGAAAAAATGCTTCGGGTGTGTTCTTTCTACACGCATAAGCACTAAGATGGTCTGAAAAAACAGAAAAGTTAGGGGGAAATCAGCAGAGCAACAACTGGCAAACAACATGTTGTGTATGTTGTGGGGGAAACCAGTGTAGTCACGAAGCCAAACTAAAGCAAAAACAGTGCGCAGAGATGACCTCTCTCTCGGCTTTACTCACCTCACCAGGGTTGTTTTCTGGATAAAATGGAGAGATGACACCCCGTAGTTTGCTCGAGATCTTGGGAAGGAGGACAAGATGAAACTAAACAGTTTTGGTGCTAAGGAAGAGACCTTTTTTGACAGTTGGTTTGGATCATAACAGCTGGTGGGACGCTGGGGGGCAGGGCACGGTGTGGGGGCAGGGACAGCCGTGCAAGTAGTGCTGCCCATTGTCCCTTCTGGGTTGCACTAGGAAGTGGTGTCGTTATATTGTCCTCCCCCACCACCGCCAGGCCGCAGGAACTTGGGGTGAGGGATCCCCTGCCCTGACTGGGATCTTGGCAGCCTTGCAGTGTTCCCTCTAAGCTGAGAGTGTTCTTTCTACACGCATAAGCACTAAGGTGGTCTGAAAAAAACAGAAAAGTTAGGGGGGAATCAGCAGAGCAACAATTGGCAAACAACATGGTGTGTATGTTGTGGGGAAAACCAGTGTAGTCACGAAGCCAAGCTAAAGCAAAAACGGTGCGCAGAGATGACCTCTCTCTCGGCTTTACTCACCTCACCAGGGTTGTTTTCTGGATAAAATGGAGAGATGACACCCTGTAGTTTGCTCTGAGATCTTGGGAAGGAGGACAAGATGAAACTGAACAGTTTTGGTGCTGAGGAAGAGACCTTTTTTGACAGTTGGTTTGGATCATAACAACTGGTGGGGCGCTGGGGGGCAGGGCACGGCGTGGGGGCAGGGACAGCCGTGCAAGTATGATGATGTCGTTTCCGGGCACAACCTGGAAGGGATGGTGGCAGCTCTAGGAATTGCCAGAAACTCTATAGTAAAACCATAGTTTCCCACAATTCCTAGTGCTGCCCATTGTCCCTTCTGGGTTGCACTAGGAAGTGGTGTCATTATATTGCCCTCCCCCACCACCGCCAGGCTGCAGGAACTTGGGGTGAGGGATCCCCTGCCCTGACTGGGATCTTGGCAGCCTTGCAGTGTTCCCTCTAAGCTGAGTTAGTGTGAGCTAGCTCACAGTTTTTTAGCCTCCGGCTCACACACTTTTGTCTCAGGAAGGATGGCTCCGGAGCAAACTAACTGATGCAGCAGCCACATCGCTCGCTCACAGCTTTTAATGCCAGTAGCTCACAAGGTAGAATTTTTGCTCACCAAACTCCACAGCTTAGAGGGAACATTGCAGCCTTGGTATCAAGACATTTTTTCAAGGTGAGGCCAGCACTGCTAAAAGCACCGCGGCTTCTGGGTGTTCAGGAGACAAGAACCAGGGTGGTGGGGGGGCAAGTTTTCACTTTAAGTGACAGGTAATTCCTGTGATTCCGTCCCATCCATCCATCCTGTGGTGTTTTTTGTTTGTTTGTTTATTACCACGGCTTCTGAGAGTCCGTCATGATGGAGACCTTGGGGGGCATGGGGTTGGCTGCCTGTCTGTGTGTTCAAGAAAAATGTTTCCCATTTCCTCTAAGTCTGGAAGTTTAATTTTAAAAAATAAACCAGGCTGTTGCTCCTTGGGTCCCCAAAAGGACTTTAATTTTCGTTAGCTGGATTGAAACCACCACTGCCCCTAAAGATGCCATCAACACTCCCAGCTATCTTTTTTTTCTTTCTTTCCCCTCTGTGCACTTTTAAAAAACGTTCATTATTGCTTTGGGTTGGGTAGGTTAGTGGGGGGGGGGCAAGAATATGTGTGTGTGAGAGAGACAGAGACAGAGAGAGAGACTGAGACTGCTATAGTGGCTAAAGAGAAGCCCAGAGATCAGGCTTATAAAAGGATAGGTGTTGTACATGCACCAGGAAGAGGCAAGTCTTACAGAGAAGAACATTTATCCCAAATAGGCAAAACGTGCTGCAGTTCTGTAACTGCTAAGCAACTTATTCAGCCTTCAAAGGATCAGGCAGTGGCAGGTCTTCATAGCAAACAGCAATTTTTTTCCCCTGAGCTCCAAGCTGGCAGAGTTTGCTGAACAACCAGCTGACGGTGGGAAGAGGGTGGGTGAGGCGGGCATCTTTGGGGCTGGATGGGGAAAGGAGGTAGCGTGGATCTTGGTCCCAAAGGGTGATAGTGTATATTTTTGGATAAAGAGCCAAGGCAGGATCCCACCCTTCGGGCAGAGGATGAGTGGGAACATTTAGGCCGCACTCGTGTTTTGCGGTGGCACCCGGGTCTCTGCTCATGGCATCTGCAGGCATTTCCGCGTCCATTTGTAGAAGTGGGCATGTTTCTAGCCCTCATGCCTGCTTGGGGAGGACGCAGCCCCTGTAGCACATTAATTATTATTTTTTTAATATTGGCAGAAGAGATTTTAGCACCACAGGCATCTCTGTTATGAGCGTTGGGGGTTCATAATCCCTGTCGCAATAAGGTTCTCCATTATCAGCCAATTTCAGGAAGTTTTCAGTATTTGACGGAAAAGTTTAGGATATGTTTGGAAGTCCATTCAGCAGGTGGCTCCCTGCAAATTGTTTTTTTGGGTGTGTGTGTGTGTGAGGGGTGTGTTTGTGTGTGTGCCTGGAAGTCATGGTGGATTTCTGGCAACCCCTAGTGGGCCTTGGATGTTTCGTAGAGGCAGCTTGCTATTACCTGCCTCTGCGTCTTGGCCCTGGTATTCCTTGGAGGTCTTCCGTCCAGGTATCTGCCGGAGTCCTACCAGGCTTAGCTTCCAAGATCTGACGAGACTGGGCCTGCCCGGGCTATCCAGCTCAGGGCTGCTCCCTACAGATCTGCTGCTTTGTTCAGTCAGCCCATTACGATTCCCCGGTCTCAGCTAAGGGTTGGGGGAGCATTGCTGAAGCTAAGCAGATGTGGATCTAATCAGAAGGATGAATGCAAGGTCATTGGGAGTCCCAAGCAAGAACAGGATATTATACGTGTGTTTGTGTGTGTGTGTATATATAGCAATAGAGGTTTCTCAAGAACAGGAGAAAAACAAGGTTCTGGGCTGATTATTGAAGTCCTTTAAGCTACTTGCTAATCCCAGAGCAAGGAGGAAGGAGCTGCCACATCCCTCCCCGGGACTGAAGGTGAGCCTCCTTTAAAAAAAGAATTAAGTTTCTAGTCCTCATGGTTAGGGAATAAACCTGGGAGATGGGTGGGTAGTGTCTGAGGACAGGGAAACCAGATGGGGTTGAGAGAGTCTTCCAGTGACGAGGGCTGAATTCACGGGTGCCTCTTAAAGTCCTCCCCGGGACTGAAGGTGAGCCTCCTTTAAAAAAAGAATTAAGTGTCTAGTCCTCATGGTTAGGGAATAAACCTTGGAGACGGGTGGGTCGTGTCTGAGGACAGGGAAACCAGATGGGGTTGAGAGAGTCTTCCAGTGACGAGGGCTGAATTCACGTGTGCCTCTTAAAGTCCTCTCCAGCCCTTCTCATGCTGTTGACGTGCATGTTTGTTTGTTTGTTTAAAAAAAAATAAAGGCAATTTAAATGTGGGACCAGGCTTCTAGATCAACAGGTGACCATAAGGGACTTGCAGTCACATTTCTAATTCCTTTTTTTTTTAATACATTTTTTATTCTTTTACTCAAAAGTACAGTCAAATGCCTAGGAAGGGTTGAACTCATACAGAGTACATTATATCTTACAAAAAAGCATACATTATCAACATTATTGACCAGAGAGATCCCCAGTCATAGCCTCATTGTGCCTAATGGTTCTAATTTACCAATTGCCTTTCATGTATACTCGGGACTTTAGCGCCCAAATATGTGGGCCGTACAGTGGGTGGGGGCCGAATCCTCTAAACTGCTAGCAGGGGTGCCGATCACATTAGGATAACAACCATCTATGATAATAGTGATTAGTGGGCAGTATCTCATGTTTCGTCATGTAATTCACTATTGGTGACCAGAGCCGCCTAAATTTCCTAGCCGTAGTGTTGCTTGAAGCCTGGGCCTCCTGCAGTCACATTTCAGCCTTCTTGAATTTGATAATGCAGGTATTCTGGGATGATAACCCTGCAGGGCTCCCTCCTTTAAAAAAAAAAGCATTACGCGTAGCTGCCTCATGCTGGGTCAAATCATGGGCCTGTCAAGGTCAACATTGCCTGCCCTGACTGGCAGCTGCTCTTCCGGGTGGAGGTCTTTCGCACGGCCTGCTTTCCTTTCAGGTGGACAGCCGTGTTGGTCTGCAGTAGAAGAGCAGGATTCAAGTCCAGCAGCACCTTGGAGACCAGCAAGATCCCCAGGGTATAAGCCTTGGATAGTCAATCTGACAAAGAGCTGTGACTCTTGAAAGCTTATACCCCTTGGCCTTTAAGGTGCCACTGGTTGGCCGTTTTGTTGGCCTTTCTCAAGGTGCCTTGCTCTTCTGCTTTGACCCTTTGTTAAACTTGGAGGTGCCAGGGGTTGAACCTGGGGCCTTCTGCATGCCAAGCCGAGCAGGCATGCTACCACTGAGCCCTGGTCCTACCCTGCCTTCTAAAGCGAGCATTCCTTGTTTTGGCCACCCAAGCTGTGTCCCGGAGCTGTGTTCCTCTTCTTCATTCCCTTTGTTTGCCTTTTCCGACAAACCGCTTGGCATCCTGGCATCTTGGAAGAAGACTGAGCTCTGCCAGTCTGTTTTGCTTCTCTGTCTTTCTCTCGCTGAGAGGGTTCGGGTTCGCTGAGAGCAGAGCCTTCATTTTTGCTTTGACTCAGAAGCTGCCAAGCCCCATTCATAACTTAACCTTGGTTCTAACAGGGCACGGATTGTGGACCCATTTCTAGGCTGCGATGCCCAACGTTCTCCTCTGCTTTCCTCAACAGCCTCGTAGACAGCAACTGCGTCACAGGATGTCGGCCGGGCATGAACTTGATCAAGGAACCGATACGATGCGAGGGCTGCCACTCCAACTGCCGGACATGTGCGGGTACGTGAACAATCCTCCCCGGACACCGTGTGTCTCTGGCGTGGCTTGGGAGGACGGGAGGGCAAAGGAGAAGTGTGTTAATCGGCATTGACCCTTTTGAGCTGGGGAACCCTTCAGTATGGAGAGAAACCAACGCCAGGCTGGCTCTTCAGAACAGAGTGCTTACAGAACACTGGAAGAAGAATCGTAGAATCACAGAGTTGGGAGGGGCCATATAGGCCACCTAGTCCACCCCCAGGGCCGGCTCACTCACTAGGCAAACTAGGCGATCGCCTAGAGTGGGACGGCCCTTAGGGGCACCGAACTGCACCCGGCCCCGTACTCTGGGAGTTTCTTGATTATTTGTGTTTTTCATTCTTCCTAAAATGCATTTATTTTTGAAAATTGGTGGGTGCACGGGGAGGGGGGCGCCAGAAGGGATCCTCACCTAGGGTGCAAAATAAGCTGGAGCTGGCCCTGTCCACCCCCCTGCTCGATGCAGGATCAGCCTAGAGCAGTGGTGGTGAACCTATGGCACGGGTGCCAGAGGTGGCACTCAGAGCCCTCTCTGCGGGCACACGTGCCATCGCCCCAGCCAGGCCCAGACCATCATTAAAGTGTCGAATTCTCTGCCAAATAATTTTAAGTCAATGAAAGCATTTGGGATTGCTTTCCTTACTTTGTTTGGATCATCTTAAGTTAATGTATGACTTGTTTTTTCTAAAGTAAAACCTCAGTAAAAAGGTAAAGGTAAAGGTGTCCCTTGCTCGAAAGCCAGTCGAATCCAACTCTAGGGTTGCGGTGCTCATCTCCGTTTCAAAGCCGAAGAGCCAGCGCTGTCCGAAGACGTTTCCGTGGTCATGTGGCCGGCATGACTAAACACCAAGGCGGGTTTGTCCAGCTGCTGCTCACAGACTGCCAGTGAGGGGGGGAGCTCACCACCTCCCTAGGCAGCCGGTTCCACTGTTGAACAAACTCTTCTTGTAAAATGTTTTTCCTAATATCCACCTTCCCACCCTTAATGTAAACCCATGATTGCGAGTCCTCTCCTCTGCTGCCGAGGAGTTCCTGCTCGTTCCCTGACATACTAGCTTTCTGTATGAAATGGATGGAAGCACATGCAGACATGTAAGCCCCCACCAGTAGCCTGAAGCAGTAGAGGTAGGACAGGACTGGGGCATGAGGACAATGTAACGTGTTCAGGGTTCTTTTTGTAGCAGGAACTCCTTTGCATATTAGGCCACACACCCCTAATGTAGCCAATCCTCCAAGAGCTTACAGAGCTCTTCTTACAGGGGCTACTGTAAGCTCTTGGAGGATTGGCTTGGCTACATTAGGGGTGTGTCGCCTAATATGCAAATGAGTACCTGCTACAGAAAGAGCCCTGCGGTGTAATTAGGCCTTAAGCTGGCTTGCGATTCTGTACTCCCCATGTCCGTCTCTGCTGCTCTTCTTACTGTTGCCTTCCCCCTTCTGACCCACTGCCTCTGCCGAGGGTGCCATTCCTGGTTTCCCCCCCAAAGACCTCTGGTGGCACAGTGGGGGGGATGGCTGTCGTGGGGGGCCGGGGCAAAGAAAATGTCACCAGTGTGGGGCAGGACCTGAAAACATCCACACCATCCAGGCCACACAGGTGAAAACACACTTAGATTGCCATCTTTTGAAAGAAGACGGTCCCCAAGCAGGTTTTGGAAAGATGTTAGCATAGCGGGGGGGGGGGGGCAGAAAATGCGGATGCTGGGAAACAGAAACAGAGAGAACGTTTTCTCCCTCTTCTCATAATACTAGACCTCGGGGGCATCCCATCTAACTAAGTTGAAAGGAAACAGGACGCAGGCAAAAGAAAATACTTCTTTGCTTGAGGAGTAATTAAATTGTGGAATCCACTGCCAGTAGTGATGGCCGGAAGCATAGATGGTTTCGAGAAAGAATTAGATAGATTCATGAAGGAGAGGCCCATCAGTGGCCGCTAGCCAGGGTGATTAAAGGGAACCTCAGGAGACAGAGGCAGCAAATCTCCGAATGCTGGTGCTAGGAGGCCGCACTTGGGGGAGTCCTTGGCCTTTTAGTTCTGTTTGTTGGCCTTCCAGGGCAACTTGTTGGCCACTGTGTGGAACAGGGCTGTTCTTACAACTCTTGTTTTGGAGCAGCGGCAGACAAAAATGCCCACGAGGAAGCAACCCAGGTCACAAATGGTCTAGGTACAGTCTTCCGTCTGCTGCCCCATCATACATTCTGCGTACGTTACAGGAAAGCAAACCTCTTTCTTTTTAATAAAATTGGAATACTTTTGTTAAGATGCTTTCTGCTTTAAAAAGAAATTCCATCTTTCATGGGCTCAAAGGCAACCGTATAAAAGCCCACAAGAAGAATAGCATGAGTCATCTTTGGAGCACATGAAAGTCTCCACACTTCAAAAACTGTGTGTGTGTGTGGGGGGGGGAGTTGTGTGCTGGAAGTGTCTGCAGCACTGAAAATCTAGTTCAGTTTCCAGATTGTTGTCTCCAACAGCAATGATAATTTAAAAAGAAATCCCCTCCCTCCCACCAAGAAATCTGCATTTAAAAAATCAGATTGAAAACAGAACTGATGCTCAAACCCTTCCACGGCAGGCTTTTCCTCTCCCCAGAGATACGGACTGAGGTCCAGAGAGCTGTGTGCAGGCTCAAAGATACTTTTACATTTGTTTTTTACAGGCCAGACTTCAAGCCATATCATAAAGCTGCTTTTGAAATCTCCTGGAGTCATAAACGGGATTTGTAATTCAAAATAGGGATGGCTGGGGGCTCTCAGGCTCCAGTTTCTGTTTTTCTGTATTTATTTATTTTTATTTACTTTGTGTATACCCCACTTTCCTCCTCGGTGGGGACCCAAAACGGTGTACAACAGCAGGAGCTCCTTTGCATATTAGGCGACACACCCCTGATGTAGCCAATCCTCCAAGAGCTTACAGTAGCCCCAGTAAGAAGAACTCTGTAAGCTCTTGGAGGATTGGCTACACTAGGGGTGTGTGGCCTAATATGCAAAGGAGCGCCTGCTACAAAAAGAGCCCTGCGGGTCCTTCTCCATTTTATCCTCACAACACCTCGGTGAGGTAGCAGCTAGGCAGAGAGTGTATCTGGCCCAGGGTCACCCAGCCAAGTTTCCATGGAGGGTCCCCCCCCACCCAACCTGGGTCTCCCAGATCCTAGTCGGACAATCTAATCACGAATTCATTCAATTATTTAAGAGATTTCTGTTCTGCCTCAGCAGAGTCCTGGTTGAGGCAGTTTACATATAGAAAAACAAGAAGTTATCATTACACCACACCGGCTGCTACCTACGCCTTTGCACACCTTCCCTA